CCTCAGCCCATGGGTTCGAGACCCGCCTGGGCAAATTGGCGAGACCTCATCTTTACAATAAATTTAAAAAAAATTAGCCGGGCGTGGTAGCGCACGCCTGTAGTTCCAGTTACTTGGAAGGCTGAGGCGGAAGGATCGCTGGAGCCCAGCAGGTCGAGGCTGCGGTGGCCGGGAGTGGCCACTGCACTCCAGTCTGGGCGACAGTGAGACTCCAACTCTAAAAAAAAAGAAAACAGACTTAACCAAGAATGTTCATAGCAACTTTATTCTTTTTTTTTAGAGGGAAAATAAGTCTTTTTTTGAAAATTTGATGTTTTGCTCATCGTGGAATTTTTGCAATAACTATTTTTTTAAAATTTTCAATATATGGGGTGCAATTCAGGGTTAAGTATACAAATGTTTGTTATGCAGGTACCCTTGTTGATGAGGTGTGCCCCCTCTCCTGGCAATTTCCCACTACAGCAGATCCCACCCCCACCCTCCCCTGGCAGTTTCCCACTACTGCAGATCCCACCCCCACGTTCCCCTGGCAGTTTCCCACTACTGTCAATCCCTTTCTTACAGTATTATGATAGTTGTTCAAGGTCTGCTTATGACAACTTTATTCTTAAGAGCCAAGAAAACAGAAACAATCCAAATTTTAATCAACAAGAGATTTGGTAAATAATATTAGATTTATACAATGCAGTTACTGCACAGCACTTACTTAAGCAGTTTGAACTACTGACATATACAACTCATTTAGGGTATTTAAAACATTGTGTAAAAGATGCAGACACAAATGCATGTATACTATACAGATCCATTTACATGAAGTTGAAGAACAGTCAAATTAACAGGATGCTAGCATCAGAATAGTGGTTACCTATGAGGTTCTGTGGGTATTGTCTAGGATGGAGCATGAGGGAACATTTTCAGATATAGAAAATGTTCTGTATCTTGTTCTGGGGGTGATTATTTTGGTGTGTACATAGGCAAAACGTTATTGAGTTTTGCATGTAATATTTGTATATTTTATGGTATGTAAATTATTCATTAATTTTCAATAATATAGTTAAAGGCCTTGATGTACAGAAATGCAATATAATACTATGCAGACACTGAAAATTTGACCTTTATTCATGTAGAATGTTGTTACAATGTATTGTGGACTATGTAAAACTGTATGCCTTTATATGCATTTATATGCATAGAATATTGTCGGAAAGAAGTTCAAACACACAAAATAGGCAAGTAGGTTAAGTACCACCCATTTGTCCCCTCTTGGTTCAACTCTAACATATTGTTGTTGAGATCATGCAGCATCCAAAGGTTCCTTCCCAAGACTGGCCAGGCAATCTTAACTCTAGAAGAGACTTTAATAAGAGATTCTGGGCTGGGCTCGGTGGCTCAGCCTGTAATCCCAGCCGTTTGGGAGGCCGAGGGGAGTGGATCGCCTGACCTTGCCGGTTCAAGACCAGCCCGGGCAACTTGGCGAGACTTCATCTCTACAATAAGTAAAACATTACTCAGGCATGGTAACATGCTCCTATAGTTCCAGCTACTTGAAAGGCTGAGGAAAAAGGATCGCCAGAACCCAGCAGGTCTTTGCTGGAGTGACCGTGAGTGTGCCACGGCACTCCAGCCTAGGCGACAGAGTGAGACTCTAACTCAAAAAAAAAAAAAAAAAAAATTTCAGACAGCCCTCTCGGGTCCCTTCTCACTGTGGAGTTTTTTTGTCCTCTCAATAAATCTTGCTTTCTCAGAAAAAAAAAAGATTCTGTTGTTTAAAAATTCAAGGGCTGTTAATAAGTACAGTAGCTTATGGTCCTGTGAAAGTAAATTCCTATAATTGCGAATTAGCCAGATGGGTACTCATTTATCCACGAGAAATTATTAAAAGTAACTTGGAACTGTTTGGTTGCTTGTTTGTTAGAATTTGGGGTTTTTTCCTCCCTGTAATTAAAAGAAAATTAAGTACCTAATCAATATTATCCAAAAATTCATATCTGTCACCTTGTTATTGAAGATGCGAGCCTACCTAGTATTAGCCTATGATCTACTTATAGGCCCATGAGTTGATGCAAGAAAAGGAAAGATGAGGACAGCAGTGCAAAAGAAATTCTTTTCTAGAAAATTGAAGAAGGATGATGAAGTGAACCCAAGATAGCTGACCGCTGGGTCTCACAGGACCCAGGCAGGGTCTGGGCAGCTCCCAGAGCCTCAGCATCAGTAGCTCAGGGTCATGCTCCAGTGCCCCACTGCCATGTCACTCCTACTCTTCACCCTGGCTGCATCTCTTCTTTCTACCCATCAGCCTCTGGTCTGGAACTTCAGTTTGTCCAATCACTGTGTCTTTTGCAAGGAAATCTCATGACGAGACTTCACAGTTCAGTAGGAACTTAGGGAGCCCGAGAAGGCAAGGGACAGGCATGTAATCAATGTTTGATGAACTTAAGTTATGCACATAATTTAGGAATTGTCCCTCTATATTCCAGAAATGGAGCTTCTTCCGGTAGAGGGAGAGAGAGACCTAAAAATGATAAGTTGAATATTTACTAAAACTCCTATGATGGAACAACGTGTGGGTTGTGGTGAAAGCCCAAGACAGCGGTCTGTTTTCATTAGAGGGAACTCTTGAGTCTGTCTTGAATGCTTAGACTCACCAGGTGGACTGACAGGTGGAGGCCTTCAGACAGAGGAACGTGGCCGAGTGAGAAAGAGCCTGACCCGACCTGCTCGAAATGTTTAAGGGACATCATACCATGAGGTAGGGACCAGGTTCATTTTCCATAGTAAGGATTTGCTTCTTTTCTCATGGGTCATGGGGTTCACTGCACCATTTTAAGCAGGAAAGCATTATCTGTTTTAAGTTTTGGAAAAGTGATTACAACGGCATTAGAAGAGGGACCAATTGGGAGACTTGGAATTCTCAAAGTGAAAGAAGATAAGGCCTGAATTAAGGTGTCAGCAAAAGGAGATTCAGAGCCTAAAGAGAGAGAAAAGGATAAAAGGAAAGAATGCTGGAGTTTTAAAACTAGCGGATAGCTGGGCCCGGTGGTCCATGCCTGTAATCCCAGCACTTTGGGAGGTGGAGGCTAGAGGATTGCCTACTCCAGGGGTTTGAGACCAGCCTGGGTAACTTGGCAAGACCTCATCTCTACAATAAATAAATAAATAGCCAGGTGTGGTGGCATGCACCTGTGGTTCCAGCTACTTTGGATATATTGATTAGGTACTTAATTCTTTTTTTCTAATGTACAGGGAGGAAAAAAACCCCAGCTCCAACAAACAGGCAAACAAACAGTTCCAAGTTACTTTTAATAATGTCTCATGAATGAATGAGTACCCATCTGGCTAATTCACAATTATAGGAATTTACTTTCACAGGACCATAAGGTACTGTACTTATTAACAGCCCTTGAATTTTTAAACAACAGAATCTTCATTTTTTTCTGAAAAAGCAGGATTTATTGAGAGTACAAAAAAGCTCCCACAGTGAGAGGGGACCCAAGAGGGTTACCAGGAATTTTTTTTTTTTGAGTTGGAGTCTCACTCTGTCGCCCAGACTGGAGTGCAGTGGCATACTCACGGCCACCCCAGCATTGACCTGCTGGGTTCTTGCACTCCTTCTGCCTCAGCCTCCCAAGTAGCTGGAACTACAGGAGCATACTAACACGCCTGGGTAATTTTTTATTTATTGTAGAGACGAGGTCTTGCCAGGTTACCCGGGCTGGTCTTGAACCCGCGAGCTCAGGCAATTCATTTGCCTCAGCCTCCCAAAGTGCTAGGATTACAGGCTGAGCCATCGAGCCCAGTCCAGAATCTCTTATTAAAGTCTCTTCTAGAGTTAAGGAAAGCAGAAAGATCACCTGAACCTAGCAGGGCGAGGCTGCGGTGGCCTCATGTAAGCATGCCACTGCACCCCAGCCTGAGCGACAGAATGAGACGCCTACGCAAACAAACTAACAAGCAAACAAAAAAACAGGAGTGGATAGTATGGGGGAGGGGAGGAGTCTGGTATTTTTAACCTGGGTGACAGAGTGTCAGGTAATGCCACTGACCCAAACAGGACAGGAGAGAGGCCAGGTGTGGTTGTGTTTCTCAGTGGTTCATTGATGTTGCTACTTCATACCAACTTGGAAAGAAAAATGAAGACCCATGTGCCTGACCTTGAACTCACTCCATCCTTTAAGAACAATGCTCTTTTATTGAATCCTGCCAGTTTCTTAAAGACCATCCTCCCCTCCCCTGGGCCCAGTAATCTCTACTTTACTACATATCTGAATTGTTTCATATTATAAAACAGTGAAACTACCCACACACTCTACCATCAGAGTGGAGTGAAAGCAGATAGAGTTTAAGGGGCTCCCCCAGCTGCTTTACTCCTCAAGGAGAGCTGCCTTTTGCTCTATGCTTGCTGGAGGGACTAGTCCACCTAAATCTGGTAACAGAGCTGTTCTGAGTTTGATTGCTGCTGTAGACTCTTCACTAAGGCTCGTCATTGCCCCTCTTCACAAAGTGACTCCTGCCAAGAATCAGTACTAGCTGTACTCTGTGGTAATCCTAGTCCCAAGTAACTAAGAATGATACCTGTAAAATGTATACGTAAAGTGTCATTACTGCAAGTTAAACTTAAATCATACTGTTATATAAAGTGAAAATATAACAAAAATGCATTTTAAAGTTTATACATGTGTACATACCTGATTCCTGTTACAAACATCAGTGCCTTATCACCGAGACTACAATGATATACTTAATAAAGTGAAAAGTCCCCTGGGATGGCTTTCCAACCAGACTCAAACACCCAGAAGTGTTCTTAGGATTGCTGCCAGGTGAAAATTTTTTCCAAATATGACTTCAAAAGTTCTCATCTTGTTAAGTATCTTTTTCATGTTAGGATGAGAATAACAAAAGTTATTCTTTCTTAGTTTTCTATTGATTCAAAGTAACATGTGTGGTACAATTTATCTTGAAATTGTGTTAAAATATCATTAGCACTTGAGAAAAATAAAAATCAGTAATAATCAAAATAATATTTTAAATCTTTATTGATACCATTTTGCTTATGAACTAATCTATTTACATATTCTTCCAAACTGTATCCTTACAAATCAAAGTCAAGTACTTTTCTTGATATTAAACTTGCAAAAAGCATTTAGATTTAGCCACCTATAAACATCAAGTACAACTCTTAAGTTCTGATAAAAAATATTTTTGATGTAATTAATATTAATGTGCTTCACAACATTAAATGGAAAAAGCTCCAATTACTTTTAAATAAAGGCCACAAGTAATTAAATAATTACTATGTACATTACAACTTGCTTATATCAGATTACCAGGAAAAGCATCCCACTGATTACTGGGATCACCTCACTCACCGAAGGCAAAGAGAGTTGTGCATGACAGTCATCAGATTAACGCACTTGGATATGTGGTCTGATTTATTTTTTGCTGTAAAACTGCTCGATTGAAATAAGGATTTTTTGTAAAACACCATACTTTCAAGTCATATAGATAATAGTTATTTTTTATAGTATTTTTCAATAGTAGCATGGTATCATTTATTTTGTAAGAAGTTATTCATAGGTCCTAAAATACTAGATGATTGGAATGTCACACTAAGGATATCATTTTATGTCCTTATTATGTAAATGTCTCATAACTATATATATCAGAAAGAAGAATTTATCATTAAATATTGACCAAATATTTAGCACATTTTGTCATTAAGTTTCTACTGGCTTCTTAAATTTTAGCTAACCTAAACTAATATAATAATCAGCTTTTCTTTTTAAAACACAGCAAATGCTAATTTCTATTTGTGATAAATCTCAAGCTTTTTTTTGGTTGTTTCTTTTTAAAGATAAGAATTATTTGATGATATAAGTAAAGAGGAATGCTTTTTAACTTTTGTATTATCTTGTTATTAAAAGCTTATGAATAGGCTTCCAAAAATAGTAACAGGAATTAAAAGATATGGAGAAAGAATAGTTCCATAAGATAATATCAAAGGTTAGTCTGTTTAAAAACCAAAACAAAACAAAACAGAAGCACAAAACAGCACACAAACAACAGGACTCGGCACAGATTATTAGCAGCTTATAAAACTGACCTGCTGGTTTAACACTGATTAAATTGACACCATGAATATTTTCATTGCCTATTCTATTACAGTGTTTAACCTTTTAAAATTTTAATTAGATTTTTACCTATCTGTAGTCAACACTTTTAAGTAATTTGTTTATTCTTTCTTTATAGCTTAATTTTGTTGATCTTAGAACATTTTATAGCTGTCAGTGTTTTCTTTTATGCTTTTGGGATCATGGAAAATTATAATCTACTGACATGAAATGTTAAAAAGAATTATTGACTTAAACCTGTTAACTAATAAAAAATTTAGCCACGCAGAAGTTTTTAAAAAAATTACCTTCAAATCTGTCACCAATGAAAGTATTTTTTAAAAAATTACCTTCAACATATGTGGCCTTCTTTCTTTGCTGATTTTTGCTTAAATGACAAATTTGAATCATATGAAGGCTGTTAAATAAAGGTGATTTTGAGAAAATAGCTTTCATTCTGAGAGAATTCCCTTAGCAGAAACTATGTTATTTTTGTGTTCATGGTGCTAATATGAAACACAACACATTTGACCTGCCACATTTTGTTTAGTAATTATGGGCTAACCAATAACAAGACTTAAAAGTATGAACATTTAAGATTTCTTCTCTAGTTCTCGGATATACACATTTGAAGAAAATGTGTTTTACACTCATGTCTTAAAAGTTTACTAATTGTTTAATTTGTTCTGTTTGCAATGATTGTCTCCTTAACAACATTTTCTTACTCTTGAATTCTTTAGGGAAAACAGGAACTGTGGGCACCAGCACTTTTTGGCCACAAGAAAGAAGGCTGCAGATCTTGTTGACGTTGACATCAGCGACAGGAGGGTGAGGACTTACATGTAAGGGTGGCAGAAACCCTGGTCTGGTCTGTGTGACACTGTGATCAAATGAGGAAGCCCCTGAGCCACGCCTTTCTAGAACGGCATGGCTCCTCCTGCTCAGGGGACCTGGGGGGATGTTCTCCAGAAATTCTTTGGGCCCCGACAGTTGGACAGGAGCTGGCGAGAGGATCTTTCTCTTTCCTGTAAGTGCTTTGCCATCTTCCAAGTTTGAAGGGACAGGGCCAGCTGAGAGCTGTGAGTCAGAGCTGTAGTGATTGGCCCCTGAGTTTCTCTTCTGAACTATGCTTTTTAAGGTGGAAGCGAATGCTGTCTGGCTAGAGTCTGGGTCCTGGTCAGCAGGGATTTCAATGCACTGCTGATTTCCTTCTGAAAAAAGAGACTGGTAATTTATTTCATCATATGACATTTTCCTGGAGCTGGCCTGATCAAAGGCTCTCAGCAGATGGGCTGTGTCTTTCACGTCGATGCTTTGGTGCCTCGTGATGAATCGCTTCGAGAGGGCCAGACCATTGGTTCTATAGGATAATTCTTCCTCTGGAGTGATGTCCTGGGGCTCCTCTTGCAAGGAGGCCACTCTGTTCTGGTGCATCAGTGATGGGGCACTCTTGATCCAGGGGGGTGCCTGGGACAGCCTCGGTCCACCAGGGGCAGTAGTAGGCATCTGCATAGGGGAACCTGGGTCCCGGGCATCATTGCTGCTTCCCAAAGGCTCAGGATTTTTAAAGTCAAAAAGTGTCAGTTCAGTTTCCAAAGAATGTGACAGTGGCAGCGAGGCTGTTGTGATGTCGATTCCTGAAGGAGTGGTGCAGGTGTCGGGGGAAAGACACCTATCTATTTCTGCAGGAGGCACATTTAAGTACTGTTTGGTCGTGTGCTTCCCAGAGGGCGATTTCGCTGTCGTGATGATGATGACCTCTTTCCCTTTCGCCTTACAAGCACTGAGTAGAACGTTCAGGGTCTCTCTGTCTTCTGAATTTATGGCGTACACGAGAGCTGAGTGACCGGAGTGGTCTTGCAAACTGAGGTCAGCTCCGCTCTGGAGGAGCAAAGAAATAACTTCAGGACCTGCTTTTTCCAAGCAAGCATGCATCAAAGCGGTTTTCCCAGATTTGTCTTGTATGTTGGGATCGGCATTGTTTTCTAACAGGTATTTAATCATTTTGGCTTTACTGACACTCTGGTGGTCAACGTGTTTGGTCTTACAAGCAATCATTAGAGGTGTTTCTCCACGGTCATTGCTTTCATTAATGTAGGCACCACCTTCCAGTAAAAGTCTCGTGAGACGAAGCCGGCTCTGATGGACGGCTTTGATCAAGGAATTTCCATCACTCGAGATTTCTGCACCTTCATCCATCTTCCAAAGTCAGAAATCAATACCTGGTTATCAAAGAAGACAATGACCACAAGATTAGTCAGGATCAATACCCCAACTTATATTCATTTTGTTACCCACAATTAACTTCTGAAGTATGAATAAAGGAGACATAAATGAGACTATGCTATTAATAAGTACAGAGCAAAATAGTGAATTGCAAACTATAAGAAATTTCAAATAGTTATGACATTTAGGATTCAACAAACTAAAATTTATTTTGAAAATCTTCATTGAATATTTATGACATAACACCAACATAGGACCTTCCTAAATCCTACATTACTTAAAAAGAATCCACTTATTTTTACCTGTGAAAATTATTTTTTAATTAATAATATTGAAAAGTAAATATAAACCAAAAGGCCAGTTGCAACTTGGCTTGCCTGCTGTAATTGCAACTGAATCAATTAAAATATAACATGTTTATGGTAGCTTAATGTGAAAAACTTAGTATTAAATTACTTAAACATGTTCTTCAGGTCGGGCATGGTGGCACATGCCTGTACCCAGCATTTTGGGAGGCCAAGGCGGGAACATTGCTTGAGCCCAGTAGTTCAAGACTGCAGTGAGCCATGATCATGCCATTACATTTCAGCCTGGGCAATAGAGAGACCAACTCAAAAGAGAGAGAGAGAGAAGTAGGCATGCACACAGAAATTAATTCCATTGCTAAACATCTAGGAACTTCTAATACATGCCGACCCCTGAGGTGCTCTTGTGGCTTTGGAAGCAATGCCATCTAAGAGCTGGTGACATAGTCACAAAGAGATGCTTTAACATCCTGGGGACCAAGGGCCTTCCTGGAAGTCAGCCATTTGACTGGGGTTTGAAAACTGTGTAGGAATTGGGCAGGCAGAAAAGGAGGAAGGAAGAGATAGAAAATATCTCCGTGCAAAGACCTAGATACATAAAACAGCAGTCATTTACAATGAAACAGGCCATAATTACACAGATATAACCAAACTTCAGGGAAATATTTTAGGAGATAGAGTTAGGGCTAATGTGATAGAACATACACATCTTATTTTGCTCCTTCCAAACCCCTAAAACTACAAAAGTTTTTCAAAGACATAGCCCACAAAGTCAGAAAAGGTGAGAAGATGGCAGTGGCCATATGTTGAAAGCCTGAATGCAGAGGGGCTAGGTGTGACTGACTCCATACCTTGAGAGCACTGTGTTCAAGTTAGGGCAGTAAAGAGAACCAGTCCCATATATACTGCAGAATCATCCAAAGGGGCCACAGCAGGAAGCTTTAGAAACGTGTGTATGTGTGTGTGTGTGTTTGTGTAGTACAGCTAAAATATGGAGGAGGAGGGGACAAGCTGAGAGAGAAGCAGTTAGCTTGCTAGGTCTTGCTACCCAAGTGTGATCCTGCCCAGGTCTAGCCACAGTGGCAGCACCATCACCAGATAGTGTATCAGCTACATGGAATCTCAGACTCCACCCCAGAGCTACCAACTTGGATACTGCATTTAACTAGATCCCTAGGTGATTCATGTGCAATGTGCTGTCTTGGGTCATTCTTAAAACTCCAGCCACTAAGACAAAGTAACTGCCCCCTCTCCCATCCTAGGACTGTCCCAATGTTCATTCTCAGGAAATGGTGAGAAAGATGATCTCTGGACTGGGAGACACCCAGCACATTTGAGAAAAGAGAGCAGGAGAACAAGAGATTGTCTGTTTCTGAACACTGCTGGCAAGACCCACAGCCACTGCTGACAGGACCCACTCCAAGGAGGCTGACAGGGGACCCTCATCCCTCAGGCAAAAACTGCTATACCCTTCTTCTCTCAACTGTCTGACACACCACTCAGACTATCCCACAGTGAGGCCTACAGGTAAAAAGCCTCCTCTGTGTGCTCTGGGCTTCTCACTAGCTTTTAAATCTCAGCCCTTTGATCATGAGAATATAGTCACAACAAAAATCAAAAAGCAAACAAAAATGCCTCTTACATTTAAGATAGGCACTAGAGCAAACAGAAGAAAGCAACTTGGAGGAAAAAGATACTAATCAGGAAAATGAAAACTTCAGGCACTCATTATTCTCAAAGGGATAAGAAGATGTTATAACCATGAAACAAGAATAAGATTCTATGAAAAAGGAATAATTAGAGACCATAAAAAAGAGTTCTCAAGAAAGTAAAAACGTGATACAAGCCTGCAAAACTCAATAGGAGGGTTAGATAACAACACTGATAAAATCTCTAACATAGTCAAGCTAAAAGAAAAGAAAAACAAGACATTTAGAGGACTAGACCAGGAACACCAACATCCAAATAACAGAAGTTTCCACATGAAAGAATGGTGATGGTAGGAGGAAGAAGGGGCAAGAAGAAGACAAAATCATCAATAAGGTCAAGAAAAGTGTCTGGACCAATGGGACATGAGTCACCACATTGAAAGGGCCCAGTCAGAGCATAGTACTGTGAAGGGAAACAGACCCATGGGCCCCATGGCTGTAAATTTCCAGAGCACTGAGAACTGAGAGGATTTCACAGCTTGGAGGCAGGGATCAGGGTGGGGGTTGGGAGTAAGGTAATCACATACTAAAGGATCAAGAACTGGTATAGATTCCAATAAATCAACAATGAAAGACAAGGGAGGAACATTTGTCTTTAAATATCTGTAAGGAGGTTGGGTATGGTGGCTATAATCCCAACACTTTGGGAAACCAAAGCAGGAGGATTGCTAGAGCCCAGGAGTTTGAGACCAGCCTAGGCAACATAGTGAGATCTCGTTTGTACAAAAATAAGAATAAAAAAATTGCCCAGGTGTGGTGATGCATGCCTGTAGTCCCAGCTACTTGGTAGGTTGAGGCTAAAGGACTGCTCGAGCCCAGGGTAAAGCTGTGGTGGGCCGTGATCATGCCACTGCACTCTAAAAATAAAAATAAAAAAATCTGAAGGGAAAATATTCTCAGCTTAGAATTCTATATTTAGCCAAATCATTGAGCAAGAATTGGGATATACTGTCAAGAATTTGCCAGAGAATGTAATCTGCAAAGGTGAAATGGTAGAAGAAAAAAGAAAGCAAGAGATGCCAGAGACGGAAAATCATCATGGCAGAGACCAGAGAGGCACCGAGCCTCAGAAGAGTGGTGCAAGGAAATACCAGGGTGGGGTGTGCGTGGACATCCTCCCCTGGGTCAATGGCCTTGTCCCTCCTGCTGTCTAGGGCCAGATACCCGACAACTGCCCTCTGCTCTGGTCTCTACCTGCCTCATTCTAGCCCTGCTTCCGTTCCTTTGTGTCCTGCTGTCAGAGGCAACCAAGGGCACTCATTGAAGTGAACTCAAGCTCTGCTTAACAGCTCTGCTCCAACCACCAGGAAAGAAGCATAGGTGGGCTCAGGAGAAAGACCGACTTACCCATGCCCTTCAGATATCTGGGCACCCTCAGCCCTGCCGGGAGCCTGTATCAATGACCTCACTGGAGACTATTGTTCACCCGGGGAGGTTGAGCCAAGTGGAGACCAGACATGTTCTGCTTGTCTTCTCTTGGGAGTGCTTACCAGATAGGGGCAACGTGACTGTTTATTCATAAAATTTTGTGCCTGCTACTCAGTTTTTTAAAAAAATAAACAATGATTTTACTTAAGGCTCATACCTAAGCGGCAAACTGGGGAAAAAAAACAAAAACAAAGGGAGAGATTCAGACAAAAGTCAAGAGGCAGCTACCTGTGGTGGGACTGGAGGACAGGGCATTTGGGAGGGACATGGGGACCCTGGAGCACAGGATGCTCTGTTTCTCAGGGTGGTGTGTAGGTTCCATGCTAGCATTCTTTCATTTTAAACGTACACATTTCACACACTCATCTGTGTCACACCACTTTTATCTACTTGTCATAAAATGAAACGTGTACAGGAAAGAACACAGCACATTTGTAAGATACATCTCATTACTAAATTTTAAAAAGAGGCTGGATGCAGTGGCTCACGCCTGTAATCCTAACCCTTAGGGAGGTGGAAGTGGGAGAATTGCTTGAGCCCCCAAAATTAGCTGGGTGTGGTGGTGTGCACCTGTAGTCTCAGCTACTTGGAAGGCTGAGGAGGCAGGATAGCTTGAGACTAGGAGATCAAGGCTGTGGTGAGCTGGGATCGTGCCTGTACTCCAGTCTAGGTGACAGTGAGACCCTGCCTCAAAAAAAAAAAAAATTTACAAAGAACTACATTAGGTCTTACTTTTCATGATATGATTCAGTTCTTGTGATAACATCCATAGCATTTGTGCTCAGACTTTCAAGTAAAGTCTGAACTACCTGTAGGAAGCTCCTGACAGGCAGTATTCAAAAGAACACACTTGTTCATCTCCTCTCCCATATCATTCATGATGCACAGCAAAAAACAACTACTTAATGCACACACACAAATGCAATGAAATGAACACTGTTATTCTATGTTCCTGTGGCATGTTCTATAAAAGTATCCCAGAGCCAGACATACCTGCAACTCAGGAACTTAGGAACTTAGGACTGACAGACAACTTGGTTCTGTTCTGAATGCAAAGCAACTGAAAAGAGATCCAGGAGACAGCGATCACAAGACAACTCTCACATTTCTCATATAAAAATGAATCTAACAGAGCAAAGAAATTTAGAAAACCTTATATCAAATACAGACACCACTCAGTAACTGTGGCACAGTATCGGTCATGAAAAACAACCCTTTGACCAAGAGTTGCATTTGAGAATCAGATGTGCAAATGGAGCCTGTTCCCAGACACTAGATGTTGATATGATATTGTTGTGTAGTTTCTAGCGTTTGAGTCAATCTTTTTTTTTTTTTAAGTCTTTTAGGAATCTTTTTGGGAAGACTTTCTACTTTTCACTCATTCTCCAGGAAGGACCTTTCTCCACAACATAAAACCTGAGCACTTTCAGTCACACCTTCTTTCTCACCCAGGTTGGTATCAGGAGGTACTGTGAAGAGGGAGCTGGCAATGTCCTGACGACTGCCATCTCTAGGAGCACAGTGGCCCTGTCAGGCCCTGTGGAAAGGGAGGGTGCCATGGGCTCCAGGGTTTCAGGGGAGCTGGTGCTCAGTCAGGATGTTTCACAGAAGAAAAGAACACTCTAGGTCTTCATCAGAAGTAGAGTTTAACTCTGTGAAAAGTAAGTCAGTCAGATTTGAATAGCAGCTTTTTTTTTTAAGATGAGCTAGCTACCTCATCCACTTGCCATATAGATGCAGGCAGATGCCCTCTCCTCGCTCTTGCTGTCCCCAGAACTGGAGGACTGGCTAGCAAAAATAGCCCCATGAGGTTAGCTCTTTCACTTCTTAACATTTAGCAGAGCAATTCTGAAGTGGCTTAAACATTACATTTTTTAAGGGAAAAAGTTGTCAGGTACCTTATTCTCCAAATGTATACACATTTCAGTTCTTGTTTTGTTTGTTTGTTTGTTGTTTTTGTTTTTATTTTTTTGTTTTTTGAGTTGGAGTCTCACTCTGTCGCCCAGACTGGAGTGCAGTGGCTGCTCCCGGCCACTGTAGCCTTGACCTGCTGGGCTCCAGTGATCCTTCCGCCTCAGCCTTCCAAGTAGCTGGAACTACAGGAGCATGCTACCACACCTGGCTAATTTTGATTTATTGTAGAGATGAGGTCTCAGCAAGTTGCCCAGGCGAGTCTCGAACCCGCAGGATCAGGCAATCCACTCACCTCAGCCTCCCAAAGTGCGGGATTACAGGTTGTGCCACCGAGCCCGGCTTCAGTTCTTGTTTTGTAACCAATGCCTTACTGGAACAATCTCCTGTCTTTAGACCTTGTCCTTTCCAGTTAGTGCTTTTATCTTTCCTTACTCATTTGTACATTAAAAATGCTGCTATTTGCCGGCTACTTAGAAGGCTGAGGCGGAAGGATCGCCAGAGTCCAGCAGTTCGAGGCTGCGGTAGCCAGGAGCGGCCACTGCACTCCAGTCTGGGCGACAGAGTGAGACTCCAATTCAAAAAAAAAAAAAGCTACTCTTCAAATCTGACTTACTTACTTTTTATAGAGTTAAACTGTACTTCTGATGAAGACCTAGAGTGTTCTTTTCTTCTGTGAAACAGAAGAGCACCCAGTGCCCTTTCATATTAACATTCAGTCAAACCCTCTGTTGTATCCAGCTCATACACAATTCTCTTCCATCAAGATAACAGTTCACCTGGAGAAAGTTCACCAGGTCTCAGTCCTGACTCTCCTTATTAGTGGTGTGCCCTGATCAAGTCTCTCTCGTTGTCCTGTCCTGATCGAGTTGTGGCTCCACATTGTGGCATGACGACCATGCTACATTCACCCCATGGGATGTGGTCATGGAATCAGACAATGTCTGGAAGGAGACATCCTTGTCATGCTTTCCTACTCATCATATTCTTCTTTTTAAACAATTTTATCTCAATTAGACTTATTTTACTTGTTTAATGTCTCTAATTTACAGCCTATTTAAATAACAGAAAATACTGAAATTTTCTTAAGGATCTATAAGTAATGTTTTGTAAGCATAAGTGAAATCTAGTAAGTGAATGTGGAAAGAACATATCATTTAAGTGTATTTTCCTTATAATTCCCAAATTCCATAATTTCAACATTATTATGTTAATTACCAAACAGCTGGATAAATTGCTTTTCATTTTAAAATCAGGATGTCTTTAACATAGTTTGCATTCACATGGCATATCTCCCATGCTCCCTCAGTGCCCCTGCTACTACCAAGACTCCATAAAAATTATAGTTATTTAATAATTTTTAAAAAGAAGACTGGAGGAGAGCTATCATCAAACAAGTAATTTCAAGCAAGTTCTGGGAACAGCGATAGCAATGGTAGGCAGTGACAGCCTCTTGGAGGCGCTGTAGCTCATGGGGCAGGGATGCGGCCACAGGTCGGAGTCCCTTGCCTGCAGAACCCCGGAGATCTCAAGTGCCACCGAAAATGGCAGGGAGTAGCAGGGCCGGCAGCAGGAGGATGACTGACCATCTGTGGACAGAAGGGTTGGTACTTGACCCTACCCCAAGCAGCAGACAACCACTTTCCAGGCAAGAAAATGAAGATTTCTTTTTTGAACAAATTATCAGAAAGGCTCCAAACTTAGAGACAGTATGCTGAACCCTTGGACAAAGTGAGGGTCTGCAGGTGGATGGTGGGACCCCCAGCTCCCTGCCCCGAGACCAGGAGGTTGGAAGCCAGGAAAGAGAAGTAAAAAGCACTACATCTTAGAATTATGAGCCCTGTTAAAAATGTCTGTCAATAAATGAAGAACTTCAAACCATAACTGCATTCACTCTTCTAGACAACCCCTCCCACAGGGAACAGAAGTTACCTGAAAACATTCTTCGGAATGTCATACTTCAGTTTGCTTCTTCTCTCCCTGCACAAGTGTACTGTTAGCCAGCTGTCAGTTCCTACAAGACCATCATAGCTGTTCAGAGTTACATAAACACCAAGCATCTGTACACTCATCTTGTCCACTTGGGGTCCTGGTCTGGAAATCCCAGAGTGTTTGGTTCACCATATTTTAACGATGGTGAGTTTGTAGGAGTGTCGGCACAGAGCCCAAGCATAGCAGCCCTGTGTGCGTCTGCAGCACGGAGCTTGCCCATGGGGACTGCTGGACTGGGAAGGGCTCGGACCCACCTGGGTACTGGCATGGGCAGGTGAGGAGGTGGAGAAAGGAAGGTGAGGGACCCTCCTAAAATGCTTGCCTCACTTACCAGCTTGCTGGGGTCACTGCGTGTCTTGTCCTTTGCCTCAATGTTTCCCTGCAGCTTGGATGACCCACTCCACAGGCCAGGGTCGGTTCCCAGCACCTGTCTTGTGTGGCATCTGACACACCCTGTACATGGGTGGAAGTACCTTCAAAGCTACCTGGGAGGTGATGGGCCAAGTCTGTCCTGTGACTTCTTCCCTGCCCCTTAGTTTTGTTTTGTTTTGCTTTTTTCATTAGGACAGAAAAAGTATTTTCCTTTGCACCTTTTCTCTGCTGCCAATAGGATTCATAAAGTCCACTGTACTGCCATGGTGGGAAGGGGAGGGGTGAGGACATTTGAAGTTCAATGTCCAGGCCCACCCTTGCCCCAGGCCCTGCCCTGTTGCTGCCCATGGGGGACTGGAGCCTGCTCAGGTTCCTGGGTTGGTCTGTCTCCACATTACCAGCCTTTGGGAGGCCATTCCTCTGAGCCTTGGTCTCCTCATCCCTAAAAGGGGGTAATATCTATTTCACAGTAGATGACTACAAGGATTTTAAAAGATCCCAATGCTTGCGCCCCTTGGGAATTCAGTAAGAGTTCATTTCTAAAAGTGCATGGCCAAATGCAGATCCTGCACATGTGAGTCCCCAGGCTGGTGGATCAGACAACAGGAGCTAAGGCTCCTGCACCAGCAGGTCCCCTCCTTTTGTGGACACGAGAGTCCCAAGAGCTGCTGAGAACAGCATGTGGGCTCCCATCCCAGGTGTTCATTGGCAGGTGTGTCCCCTGCACGCTGAGACAATCTGAGGCTAACTGCATCCCCAGGCTGGCTTGCTGCCCACCATCCGCCTAGGATTGTCACTGGTGGTCCCCACACACCCTACAGGAGTGAAGGCCTGGGGAGGGGTCACAGAGCCCAGAGTCCAGAGGGGAGGAGGCCTCTAGTGACAGCGGGCAGGACTGGAGGCTTGCAGCCCTGCCTCTCCCAGGCCGTTTCAAGGGCAGCCAAGACCTGAGGCCAGCAGCACTGGGAATGTGGCAAGGCTGCAGACCACCAGCCTTGGTATGGAAAAGACTGGCCAGAAAAGGGTTGGTCCTGGAACCGACGTGTAAGAAATATTGAGAAACGACCCAAAGACAGGAGTAGCTGGTGACCTGTGCTTGTGCCCACATACACTGTGCTTGTGCCCACATACAGAAGGGTGCTGTGCTTGTGCCCACATACAGAGGGGAGTAGCTGGTGACCTGTGCTTGTGCCCACATACAGACCTGTGCTTGTGCCCACATACAGAGAGGTGCTGTCTCCTCCTGGTCACCTCGGCTGTGTGCCAGCTCTGGGACTGGGCCTGGGACATCCATTGCCAACCACTGGGATAGGTTCCCCTCCCCCAACACACAGACATATGAACACAAGCACAGACACACACACAAGTACACACACGCAGATATATACACAGACACACAGAGATATTTACAGACACACAAATGCACAGACACACATAGACACAGACACTCAGATATACACACACAGATACACAGACACGGACACACACAGATAGACACACAGACACACAGATATACACAAAGACATACACATGGACATAGAAACACAAACACAGACATGCAGATATACACAGGCACAAACACACACAGATACACAGACATATAGACACACAAATACACAGATATACACACAGACACACACATACATGCAGACACCAACCTGCTCCTTCAGGTCTCAGGTGACCAAGGTGACAAGGTGACAGATTCCAGGTGTGCAGGATGCTGCAGCGTCTCCACCAGCGGCTGCTGGACCAAGAGGAGGGAGCAGCCGGGACTGCGGACAAGGACAGGGAAGGTGACGGAGAGGGTGACGGGGGTGGGAGGGGCGGGAGACAGGGACGGGGAGGGTAACGGGGAGAGGTAATGGGGAGGGTGACGGGCGCGTCGTGGCCTCGTCCTGGCCGGCCAGCTGCGGGCCGAGATTGCCATCCACGAAAGCCAGTTCTGCCCGGAGCCGCTGCGGAGCCGGGTTCCCACCCGCCCGGAGGACGTGGCCCCCTTGGGAGCAGTCCTTGTCCCCCCGTCCCGGGTGGGTGGCCTCTGCGCCCGCCCCTCGCGTGGTCCCGCATCCTGGCCCCACGCTGCGCGTGT